CGGAGCACGCGGGCCGGAAGGTCCGCGCAATGCCCGCAGTTGGACTCGTCCAGCGCCGCCTCGGCGTGGGCCAGGCCCAGGCAGGCGACGCAGTAGTGGTGCAGATCCGGCGGCTCTATCCCGCGCAGATCTTGCAGATTGTTGCCATAGTGAATTCAACAGGTGAAGTAGAAAATTCTGACGTAATTGTCGCATGCACCGCATTTATACTGCCGCTGGAGCTCGTCAGTGTTTGCATGCGATTTGCATACTTCGGGTCAATTGGCCAGTCGTTTGGACTGGCGGGAGCCAATAGGACTTCAGGAAAGGTTGGAAGGGAAGGAGTTCCCATAACGGAGAAATATCTCCGTGATGTCTCGTGAAAGCTCGAGAGGGAACAGCTACGCTACGTGCAATATAAAAAAGAAAAAAAAGGTCTGAGACAGTTTGGTCTGTGGAAGAAACATTTGCCGTCGTCGCCTTCTGTTTATTTTATTTTTCGCGTCAAGAGTTGTGTTTTTTCCCCCTGTTATTTAACGAAGTAAATATCGGATAAAAAAGGAGTCCCAAAAACAGAAATATCTGATCATCGTCCATATGGCTGTTTACATTACACTTGCGTTACCAAGACAACGACTGACGCGTTTGTATTACATTCCAAAGAACTCCGTTATGAAAATGAAACCGTATCCGTGCTGACTGGCCCGGAACGGCACGGAATGGAACGGTTAGGCAACGAGAACCGTTCGGCCCGATAGTGGAAAAGCGGCTATAACGCTTCAGCTTGTAGACGACCTCGATTTTACACTTGTGCATTTTTGCGTTGGCAAAGGTAAGATGATCTGTTTCTAATTACTGGGATAGGATACTGTGGCTGTTATTATTGACATGCTGTAGTTTGAAGTAAGTTTAGCGGGTTTCTCAACCCTGCCAGGCTGCCAATATAAATAATTAAATTAGTATAATTGTTTAATGCAGCGATTCTCAGCAACTTACCTCAGGTACTCTTGGCGCATGCTGGGCGTCACACTTGAGACTTGGGTTCGAATCTGGCGGTTCTTATTCAATTCCTCGATTCTTGATGTAAATTACTTAGAGTAATTAAAAGAGATGATGACTCATTGAAGATTTAAGAACTGTAGAATATATTAGGACCTTTTTGGGGAATGTCGCAATTTCAAAGCCTGTTAAAATGTCTGTTTTACACCAAAATATAAGAAAAAAAGGCAAAGAAGCTTGCATTTTAAGCCTAAGATTTTGTTTTCAACTCAACTTTATTTCCCCCATTACTCTGTGTATCTTGATATTTTACTTTCACTATCCTCAATAATGATTTTCATTACAGAAATACAGTAGTTTTTAACTGTATATTACTAAATCAATGGTATGCTAAATAGTTTTAAAGGCAGTACAACAAATACTACCATGACGGTTTTTTGTTTTTTTTGTAATATAAATTTGGTGGGAAATGAGCTTAATTGTCATGAAAATAATGTCATAATCTAAAAGTTTAGGCTTCTTTTTCTTTCAATGAGCAAAATCCCATTTTTTTTCTTTTGTCTTTTGATTTTAGAGTGAAGTATGACCTTGACAAGTTTTGTGAGAATCACCCTTTTAATTTGGATTTCATTCATATTTATTTAATGTTTATTGCTATAAAATAACACAAATCAGTTTTGTGATTAAGTTTTAATTTATAGAATGTTTTTTAAACGCTAAGCTGTTAGAAACAAATGTGTACTCAACTTAGAAAATAATTACCATACATTTGAATCTTTAAAGAGTCATTAACAGTGTGAGAGTGTTGTTTTTCGTTAAAAGGTAGAAATTCATTGTTGTCTTAACATCAGAACTGTGAATTAGCAGTATCAACACCCTGTTTCCAAAAAGTCACATGAGTATTCCATGCTTCCTCTTCCCAAACACTTGTGGTTGAGGCAAGTGTTCGCTCTGGACATACTTCACCGAATGAATAAGATGAACCAGCATAACCTCGCAGAACTTCTCAGGAACTTGGGTGATCAGTGTCGCCAGTGAACACGGGCAGGTTATCATGTCTTGAGGCAATGATCTCTGGCGTCATAAATAGGTACAAGGAAGCCGTTATGGCTCCTCCTGAGGTTCTGTATGTCAACGGAGACTGCTGTAGGTCCAACTCTTTCAGAAAAACATTCAAAGAGTGGAAGGACATGGAGGTCAGGTTGGACATGTCGGAGTTCATGCGACGGATTGCTGCGGGGCTGCACATCAGAGTCCCATCAGATATATGCGACCTTCATGGACAGTCTCAGCCACTGTATTTTCAAATGGGATGAGGAGGACCTGAAGCAGCTGAAGGAGGCGAAGCATACCGAGCTCAGTTCCGAGATCATCCAGCCTTCTGATGATGAACTAATACATCACCTCAGCAGAAATGAGTTGGCCCTCCACTGTAGACGAACCACATGTGGCGCGAGGGAGATCGAAGAACTCATTGCAGCGCTCATTCGGCTCTATGATGGGGAGGTGGGATGGGACTCATCAGGAGTGCCGCTCTTCAGTTACAATACGATGGCTGAGGTATGGGATTCCCAGAAGAAACATTTACCGTGTATAGTGGATCCTCTTGGTGTACAACTGTATGAGCAGACTGGGACACTGGTGAAGGGAGGCCACCTTCTGCCAAACTACAAATGTGTCAGAGGTTCCACCTCCATTGAATCCTTCCACCAGCATCTGAACCAGCTCATTCCAGGTAAATACATTATCAGTCAATCAAAATCATTTTGTTAGATTTAGTGTACATACACTATACCATTAAAAAGTCTGGGGTTGTTGCAATGCCAACAATGTGCCTGCAGTATTGCAAGTGGCACATCACAACTAGATAACCATAATCAAAAAATATTTCTATACTGCAGTATCTAAGTGGTGCAATGTTTGCAATTTGTATATTATATTTCAGGGGTGCCGACTTGTTCTACATTACTACAAATTGATTGTTGGATGGATTGGTCAGGTGGAATGAAGCGACTGCTACAGCCTCAGAGGGCCTGCAGACACCTCAGACTTGCATGGGGGTTCTTCAGCAAGCTGTCAACCAGCTCAGAGAGGAAGTGCTTAAAAAGAACATTGTGTCTACTATCAGTACAAGTAAATACACAGGTAAGTTAGATATGAATTTCTTGTAGCTGAAGCGACAGTTCTCCAAAAATACAAACTCACCCTCATGTCGTTCCACTATACAATGGAAACAGTGTTATTTTAGTAACATTTGTATTCTATTACAGTATTGTTTTTATATTTTCAGTTTAATTTTAGTTAATATTTTAGAAATTGTATGTATTTTTTTTTTTTATATGTATTTCTGTTTAGCTTTAGTTTTGTTCAGTTTTATTATTTGTAGCGAATCAGCTCATGGGGAAATATGAATAATTAA